TTGCATATACTGAACTAATTTGGCCAAAATAGCTTTGCTGATTTTACTCGAATATGGCAAGACGTAAATCTTTGGAAAACGAAATTGGCTTTGCTGCATATGAAAATGTTCCTTTATAATGGGGACATTTTCACCAACAGATAAATATTTTTTTTGAAAATGAAGAGCCATTTAGCAAGTTTTATTTCTCTTATTTTCACCTTGTTCGTAGTCTTGCTGACTAAAAATGGTTTCCTTATTATCAATATTGTTATGCTTAAAATATGCTTCTTGATTACATGGTTTTTCTACTTAATTCCTTTTATCGCTTTTATGAGTAACATTTCACGTGAGCTATTATTAACATAATTGAGAGATAGTAACAATTATCGACAATTTCTACCTTTATACATATAGGAGTTTAGGGAAATGCCTCATTATCACATTTTATATCTCGATTTGATCGCCAGGATCCATAATGGAAACGTAAGCTATACTCGAATAAATGTGGGAAAATTCAACTTCCAGTTCTTTTTCATCTTAACGAAATAGGATGAATACATCTCGCATTTTAGTCATAAATGTTTCCATCATCAATGTGATCTCTTCAGAGGAACAGCCATAAGTTTGGATTATTATCATTCAACTTTGCTCACTATACATGTATCTATAAGGCATTTTTCAAAAATTATTAGATAATTTTTTCATTCGCTTAACAAATACGGCGAAAAGGAAATTTTTGCATGATTATAATATGTTTAACCATAAGTCAGTTATATAAAATTTCTTGAATGTGTATGCTCCCTCAGACACAAGCACCTTGATGAATATGAGTACATAAATTGAAAATTGAATCGTCAAATATCTCCTTATTTGTAAATATAATTGGAATTTTCTTTTTTGAACTAATGATACACCGCTGATCTGGCACTATAGGTTTCACCAACTCAGACAGCTCTTGGTAGCGCCCCCCGTAGATTGAAAACTGCCAATCTACAGCCAGCCGACGGATTATACCTTAACCCTCGTAGTAACCGGAATCCTCCGATAAAGGCATTCCCAGTTCACATTTCTGGTCGGACAGGCGAAGCTGGAGGCGAGACGGCCCATTGGGCGCCAGAAGTAACGGCTAGTGGTTGCAAGGTAGGCTCCAGAGGACCTTTACCGGGCTTTCAAAGCAGTCTGATGGGAGTGGAACGAATACATGGTCCACTGTTTGGCCATCCTCATCAAGACACAACTCTTGGAAAATATTCCGGTCCGGATGGGCCTCCAGCTTCTAGAAAGGCCAACGAAAATCTGTACCGGGTTGATGGATCCGTTTTCATCCCAGCCGATCCCTGGAAACCAGCCAATCATGATTTTTTTGGTGGACCTGATATTGGGCCATCAGGTCGAAGAGGAAAGAAGACGGCAAACATACGTAAATAAGGATTTCATTTTTAATCTAGATCGCTATCGCTGTTCGGACGACATATTTTGTACGATTGACGAATTCTCGAATGTGTGGATTTAGTTTGAGTTCAGGGTGCTAAGTTTTGGATGAAAATGACGAATAGAGTTCTTTATATCCGGTGATTCCTTTCTTACTTAAATGTCGCCATCATATTTGATGTGTTGACCCGCCTGGCATATCTTGAAAAAAACAAATCTCTCCTAATAACACGCCCATTTGACAGGACAGTCCATCTGACCTGCTTTTAGCCGTCGGACACGGACCAGAAGAAAAGTCCCGCAGATGATCAGATTTATTTTATGTAGGATAGTCGTCTACTTTTTATTGTTCCCCGCCAGGATGCACCATTATTTTTAAGTTTTTAAAGATCAGATAGTCTTATGCTCAAATCTCTCTAGCTAAAATTTCATTCATGTCGTGGCTTGCCAACATTATACGCATTAATAATATGTCCAGATCATTAGAGCTTGAATATTGCCATTATAGTCCCTTGATCTAGCTCGCTGGTGGCTGAGGCTCTCGAAAAATGCGATTCTAAATTTAATCTTAAAGAATGCTGCAGTCAATCACTACGTTGACCTAGATCAGAATTCTATTAAATAAGCCAAAATAAATTAGTATATTTGAAAAGTTGGAAATATGAATATTATAGTGCAGACATTAAGAGCGGTCCTCAGAACGTTTTTAAAATTTTTTTTTGTAATGATTATATATATGTATGTTAGGGGGACCTTCATTTCGAATGAAAGTGCATGAAGAAGAGATTAGTTTTTGTCGATCGCTGATATAACATTGTTAGGGGGACCTTCATTTCGAATGAAAGTACACGAAGAAGAGATTCGTTTTTCGATCTCAGCGTTGTTAGGGCGACCTTCATTTCGAACGAAAATACATGAATAAGAGATTCGTTTGTCGATATCACCTCAGAGGACGGATGAAAATCGTTGTACTGCAGCCTTTTAGCTTTTATATTATATTCTTGTTGACGCAGTCGACGCGTTTATTAGGGGGAACTTCATTTCGAATGAAAGTACATGGTGAAGAGATTCGTTTGTCGTTCTCACCAGATGAGCACGGATGAAAATCGTTGTACTGCAGCCGTTTAGCTTTTATATTATATTCATGTTGACGCAGTCCACGAGGTTAGGGGGACCTTCATTTCGAATGAAAGTACATGATGAAGAGATTCGTTTGTCGTTCTCAGGATGAAAATCGTTGTACTGCAGCCGTTCGGCTTTTATATGATATTCATGTTGACGCAGTCCACGAGTCTACCTCGTTTCGGGTGAAAACGTACTGAGCTTTCGTCCATCATATGATGGACATCACCAGAGCTGGGTTTCATTCTTTTAAGAGTCTCACGTTAACACTAAAGCAAGAACACTATATAAGAAGTAAGATGAATCCGGATAGTGTTCTTGCTTTAGTGCTAACGTGAGACTCTTACAAGAATTAGACACAGCTATGATGATGTCTATCATATGATGGACGAAAGCTCAGCACGTTTTCACTT